AAAAATGCTTTGCGTTATTCTCCAGGGGAATTAGGGTCAGGGTTAAGACAGCGTTTGCTTTGGGGGTAGGGTTCAGTGTAAGGTAAGGATTAAGAATGGATTTGTGGTTAAAATTTAAGGTATTGCTGGATTTAGGACACAGAATACAGACAGGTCCCGGAACTTATCACAAGGCTACTGTTTTACGGCAGAGGAGAGTTCCTTTTCCGAAGTCCAGCCGGCGGGAAGTATATAAACAGTTTCAATCTATTAATTTTTTGGACAAAATTCGCGAATTTTATTGAATTATCACACAATTTTATTATGATAAGAGAAAAGTGCTTCAAGAATTCACCTTTTACAACAATGAGAAAAAACTTGCTGCAAATGAAACGGTCTAGATACTTTAGGCTATATGAACAGTTCACTTTCTGCGCCCGTATAACTTTCGAAGACAAAAACAAATTCAAATCTCTCTTTGTGTGCACCTTCGCAAACTTGCTAACGAAAATAAGTAGTCTGTGACAAAATAGTCACCAGTTACATGCGGGACATAAATCAGTTTCATAATTGCTTGGTTTTTGACGAAGAGGGCGACTGGAATCCCTTGCCGCCTTTTCCTATGTTCCCTCACATCCCAAGAAAGCGTATCATAGTCATACTTCGACCATCCTTCTTTGACCTGAGAAGACAGTCTCACAGAAACGAACAACGTCCATTTCTTATTACGTTGTTATGCAGACGGCCGAAACTGTCCTACTTTCTGTCCGATTGATCAGTGGATTACGTTACAGAGAAGAGACTTTCCCGGCACCTGCTAACCTGCGAACTTTTATGGCCCCTGGTGTCCAGAGCTGACGGTAAGCAGCATTTTTCAATACAACGTAGATGTCTGTTATCTGTCCGAAGTCTGAATTCCTGACTCAGGCGTTCGGGAAATAAAGATCCCTGGAGCCAAATCACAAATCACAACAGCGAATCACGCGACCCCTCCAGTAGAAACAATGTGGCGATTACTCTATTGCAACAAGCAAAGAGTGCACTAGATGCTAGAGAACCAGTCAATGAACGGAGGGCTTTCCTGCGCTCGAGGGTCATTTCACAAACATCCTGTACGCACTGACCTCCGCTACCGAACAGCAGCTGCGAGCATTAGTTCAAAGGCTCTCTTGTCGCAATATGCTGATTATTTCCGGGGACTGAGATGGCCGGACTGGACGTGGTGACTCCAGAGTCACCTCATTAGTTGTTTTGGACTTGATTATCGATGCAAGAATGATGAAAGATAGTTGAACTTTGTTGATCAGAACTGACTGTTTCTTATGAATACGTGCTTCCAACAATGCAACAAACAAATGCTAACCTGGTACTCAAACGACGGCCATACGGCTAGTCAGACTAACTGCATTTTAGTCGGTTCAAGGTTCCACAGCTGAGTTTGTGATAACAGATAAGTGCGTGGTGCCGAGACTGATAATGTCTCGTTCGTACACGTTTAAATATTATTTCTCATCCCTGTCTAAAATGCCACACTCTGGACAATTCCGTAACGCCAAAATCC